ACTGGCTTGAAGAGAATTATTTGAATAAGAAAAAGGCTGATGAGAATTTGAATTCGACAGATCAGGCACTGACTCTTTATAAAAGGACGCATCCGGATTTCAAATTAGAGCAGCCTGAGTTTCATTACACACCGTCGGCCAGGCAGAAGAAGTATGAGATTGCATTTGTACGTTGCTGGCGGCGGGATGGGTTTGATTGCTTATGGGGCTAGCAAATTGTTATAAATTTGACGCCGCTTTGAATCTTTTATCTTTCGCAATTCATATTTTTTGGTGCCGCAAACTTTTTCATGCCGCTGCTTTGATTGCTTGCCAGATAAAACAATTCCGCAGTTATCACAGAAAAAATCTTTCTTTTTGCAAACTTTATTTTTGATATGATATTGCAAAGATTGCTTCGTGGTAAATTTTTTTAAACATTGCTGGCATTCCATATAACTTAAGAAAATTAAAGCATAAGTCGAAATTTGCAACCGTTTTTGAAAAAAAATATTTAAGAAAATTTAAGCATAAGTCAAAATCTGCAATCGTTTTTGAAAAAAAATATTTAAGAAAATTTTAGCATAAGTCCAACTTTTTAGATTAAAAAAAAAAAAAAGATATTTAAGAAAATTTTAGCATAGGCCCAACTTTTAGATTATTTCTTCTTCTTGGAAATACATCGCGCGCACATTAGAATGCAATTAACTTTTATATACCCGGTTTCGGGATCTAATTTTTTTATCCTAGCCGCCGAGAGAGAAAAGCCGCTATAAGATAACTTTCTAGCACAAGAGAAGCAGTATATAAAATAACTAATTTTCTAAGATGTTCTTCATCGATAAAATTCTTTTGATCTAGTAGCTTATTTTTAACGTCTTCTTCATAGCATTTTTTAAGCCAGCAACGTATCTTATCCTCCATATATATAGATATAGAAATGAGTCTTTATTTGTCTTTATATTTTCTAAGATATAATGACACTCGAGGAGAAATTTAACAAAGCTGTTGAAGAACAAAAAGAAATTTTTAAATGGTGTGAACTTAATGTTGGCGATATTTATGAAGTTATTTCATTTGAAAACGTAAAAACAATTCACGGTAATGCTGTAAAAGTGGAATTAGAAGATGATGATTGTGAATACACTGTCTGGGCGCCCAAAAGGCTTGGCGAACTTCTAAACAAAACAATCATAACGCATGTCAGACCTAAAGGAAAGAGGTTTTCTAAATCTGGAAATGAATATTATGACTTTATGCAGTTGATTTGAGTTAGATTAGTTTTTTAGTTGGCATTATTCATAAAAAATATTTTTTTTATATAATGTGGGGTGAAATTAGTGTAGGCGATGTTTATGACCAAAAAGCATAATATAAAAAGACAAATAACAATGCAAACAGCAATTCGGGCGGGCTTAGTTTGAAAAAGCCAGAACTTTAAATTCTTCTTATATATGAAGTGTCAATACTGTGATAAATATTAGAAAGACCTTATGCCGTTGAACGACTTAATACAAAAGCCGGAGTTACTCATTATTCTTATTGCCTTGCTTGTATTGATAAAAGAGGCTTAATTAAGAGAGCTGGTCTGTAAAAACCGAACATCGTCGGCAGACCTTGAAAAATCAAAATTCTTTAAACTTTCCCGAATTACACCATTTGGGGTACCTATAATCCCCAAATAGTCGAAAAAGAATTTTGATCTTTATTTTCGGAGAACGGGAGCAATGTTGGATTTGGCCGTTTTTGGGTCATTTTTTGGACCTAAATGATGCCTACAGTTGTGGTCTGATATTTTATTACTGAAAAATCCTATGATCTCGCCCCTTACATATATGAAATCCGATACATTGAAGCGCTTTTCTATTAAATTTCCATTCGTTTCATTGACGCTTGAATATTTTAGAGATTTTTGAAGTTTGGTGTTTTCGAGACATATTTTGTCTTGTCGAAAATAGACCAAGTTCAACTCGATATATCTCTACTGGTACCGTGTTCTGGAACGTAAATTACTTCTAGGTTGAAGAGATACATCTCCTCTTTCGATCGATGCAATAATATTTTGGGGCCACTCAAAAATAAGATTATACGAGTAGATAAGTCAAAGGTCATAATCACGTAATTTTATCTTACTCATTAATCGCCTGTTATGCAATATACACTATTTCTGCCGTTAAATTCTATAAAAAGGTATAATATCAGAGCAAATGGTTTTTAATCGATGAGAGATAAATAAAAGTTGTGATTGGGTTCTAAATACTCTTTTTATTGAGCGAAAATAGAAATATTTTAGTGCTTGTCATGCGACATCGAGGTGACAACTGTTACATGTAAACAACTCAGTATCGTCTCGAAAAGAAAATTGATTTTCAAAATCCTGAGCTCAAAATTAATAAAAATTCTAATCTTAATAGGCAGAAATATAATCCCCTTTTAAATTTTGGACGAAATGCTTTCAACTATACAGATGGTTTTATGAGGGGATTTTTGGCTGCCTTGGGGAGTTTGGTTGGTTTGGGAATAACTTCTAGGTTGTTATTTAAGAAAATTGTTTAATGTGCATAAGGCGCGATCTCATAATTTTCGACGTTAAGAAATGTTTAGCACAACTCTGATTTTTAGAAAATTTTTTAAAATAGCTTTTTTTTATTAAGGGCTCGTTGTGATATAAATAATTTATCGCATCCATTATCTCTTGGTTACTGGCCTCCATTATATATAGAGGAATATAAAGACATAATACAAAATCTTACGAAAAGCCAACTAAAGATCAACTATCTTGTACAAAATGTCAATCTACCTATATAGTGAATGTTTTAAAAGCCAGGGTGACAGCAAATTGGCAGGCTGCATTGCAATACGATTGGATAGAGTATAAGCTTGACATCCTATAGTTTGATTTACTAATAAGGTGTTCAGCCAAGGCTGAGAGAGAAAAGGCTATGCCTCGACATAGTTTTAAGTTAAATTTAAAGATGAAAATAAGACAGAAGATAGCTCTAACAGAGAACTAACTTTCTATCAAGTTATATTATAAAGATACACAAAATGAACGATGCTACAAGGCTCCAAACCAACGAAGGGCGTTTTGGGGTACGCATTGAGGTGTAGGGTTACAAGGGTGGAATCTATCTGGAATTGGCGTAATATTACAGTGCTATAAAACACTTGGGGATATCCTAGATGATAATGTGGAAACTGAAATAAGGTGCCTTGTAGTCTCGTTATACTGTCAAACCTATAGTTCTTATCTGACAGCTTAATGGAATATTCGAAATTAAAGAGAAGAAATTTATGGAAGTGACAACTAAAGAGTCACAAGCTGTAACTAGACTTTGGCTTAGTTAGGGGTACTCAACGCTAAACAAGACAGTGTAGAAAACCTATAAAAATAGTAACCTAAGTTATGTTCGAGATAAATGTATTGGAATACTAGTAAACGTTAAACAGCTAAACGAAACGATGTGTACAAAACAGATGTCATATTTTATATCTAATCAAGATTATGTCAAAATAAATATAAGTTCTATTAACACAAGAACGCAGGTGTGGAACTT